AGTCTGAGAACCCGGGAAGAAATCACCAAATTGGGTTGGACGGTGCTACCCCATCCACCCTACAGTCCAGATCTGGCACCCTCCGACTTCCATCTCTTTGGGCCACTTAAAGATGCTATCCGCGGAACAAGATTTGAAGATGACGAGAGCGTGATTCAAGCAGTGAGGACATGGCTACGTGCACAGGACAAGAGCTGGTACCGGCAAGGCATGCATGCACTTGTTCCACGCTGGCGTAAAACTGTACAAGTTGATGGGGACTATGTGGAAAAATAGTATGTGTAAAGGAAACATTGATTTATATTGTCACTAAATTTCAGCCATCTTGAATAAATATATTCTGAGGAAAAAAATGTGGGGCATTACTTAATGAGCGACCCTCGTAGTTGTTCTATCTCCTGATCTGCTCATGAATCAGAAAACGTAACACCCTTGTAAATCTCAACGACACATTTCAGTTACGTCCTTGGTGATCCTTTTACTGCTACAGTTTCGTGTTACCCTCTGGCACGTCGCCTCTGATTCTGTCTGCATGCCTTTCCGCCTTCTCCTGTGTAGCATACCGAACATTGTAGTCGAGAGGGTGCACGCTGGTTCGTATTGCTAAGGTCTCAGTCTAGAGGGTGGTTTTCTTTACCTTGGATTTTCAATTTTCCTTGTTTTCCATTGAAACGCTGGGATAGTTTCTAGGCGCTTTAAGGCACAGTGGTACCTTTTTGTACCACGTGCTTCAAAATTTACTAATTTATTTGTTTCATGCGATTCTCCGTTTAAATAGTGATTATTTCTTTGGAATATATCGTCCTCTTATTTCTTGTAATTGAGAGTTATTCTCTTTTCTGTTGTCTTTGAGGTATTATTCGAACTTTTAAATGTTAGTTATATCGACTTCGATATTCAGTTGATTAAAATAAGCCGCGGTCACTTGAACATATTTATAAAATTTATACTCACATTTATTCTTTCATTCAGATTTACGTCAAGACCATTTTAAGTTGAGAGCGATTCGTTGTGTTTACAAACTAAGAGTCGCAAGTTCTGTAATAATTTCTTCAGTTGCATTGTGGACTCCAAGTTTCTTGTGTACAATAGTATGTCATCTTGTCTTAAATTGATTTTGTTTTTAGTGTATTTATTCGTAACGAAAAATGTTATTTTCTGACTTTTGGGAGAAGATTTTCGTCGATACTTTTAAATTTGGGGACAATAGACGCAAACATAATAAACTGTATAGACCTACATTCTTAAGTTGATGATTCTCAGTTGTAATAAAAATACAGATGGTTTCACAGACTGACAGCATATAGACTTGCACAGACGGGTTGTGTTACGAGGTCAGCGGACTTTTTACGTCACTTGGACACAGTAGTTTTTATTACAAAGATTTGAGAATTTTCCTTTAATTGTGCAACAAAATTTCACATTTTGAGATATGAGGTCTCCACGATTTTGGTTCTTTGGGTTAACGCTGTTTTGACATATAGGAAGTATATTTATCCGAAACTTTTGTACGTATCTACAATTCTGCATGACGCTACAACCCAAAGACCAACGTCAACAAATGCATATAAAATTTTGTGCGTTTGTCTGTATTTTAAATCCTAAATTGATTTATTACAATTGAGTTATATATTTATATTTGAAATATATGACAAGCTTAGTTCTTCAAGGTTCCTCCCCTTTTAAATAAAGAAAAGGGATGACCGCCAAATTGTGTTGTTTGTGGGTTAACGTGGGCAAATGTCTTGTTGCTTTGCTGCTATGAACGTATCAGCAGTGATGGGACTGGCATTGTCAGCACTATTTTCTGTAATGTGTGATCAGACTTTCTGTTATATTTCTGCTGCATTGTGTATAAAACAGCATTATAAATGCATCGTGTTTCCCAAACGTATTACACAATTTATTATATTTTTGTAAGAACCGCGTAATTAATTAGCAATGAGTATGTATTAGAAGATCTAGACTTGAATGGCGGGATAATTCTAAAATGTTGATGACAATGTTGGTTAAGATTTTTTTTTCCCAAAGACGTTAATGAATCTTTATGTTAGGAGTTTCTTCATCCATACTAACAAAGTAAACAACGCGAAGAAATCCTTACACCATTGAGTTGACTGGGTTAAGTTGGTGGATTCTTTCGGTTATTTGGTCAGTTTGTTAGATGAGCGAGCGGATTTTCAAATGTTCGATTGCCAGATTCTGGAGTAACAAAGAGCTGTGATGTAACTGCATATTCGTGAAGAACAAATTTTGTCACCCACTGTAGACCAAGATTTCCATCGGAAAGTAAACTTAGCTGATGAAATCTGACAATACTGGCTCACGGTGTGGGTCTTGTCAAAGAAAATTTCTGCTTAAATGTTTGCAACAGGGAACAACTCTTTGCCCCAGTTGTACGCAAACAATTTATAATCACATTGAATCCACTTTTAACACTTTAGGCTACTTACGTACAAGGCAGAGTTAACAAACATAACATCTATTTAGTTTATACAAGGAGTTACCACCACAGACCACGTGCTTTCTTAGCACAGTCGTTGTCAAAATCCAACTGTAAAAACATTCCGCCACTGAAATATAAGTACATGCCGTACTGCTGCTGTAGATTTTGTAGAGTTTTAGTTCATTTCTTACTGTTTTATTAAAGAATTATTAGAAGAGGGAGAATCAGAGAGAAGAGAGAGACGAAGCAAAGTTTGCTTAGCTAATCTGAAGCTCGTATTGCCTCCCTTGCTTGCCACTGGTCCTTTATTTTCCTTGGAGAGTACTCCCACTGCTTATCAAGCAACTGCTTTTACCACAGCTAGTCTGCTTCCGATGCAGAGGCAAGCAGGGTCTCCGGTTCCCAATGGTGCAGTACGCCAACCAAGATAAAGCCCCACAGCACTCAAGATGCTGTTCGGTCACCGAATCTCTAATTTTGAAATCGAGCGAAGTGGAGGTCTAATATGAACTTGTGGCATTTGCTACATACGTTATGGACGCTTATAATGTTTTCAAAGTAAATGTTAAGCAATGGTTAATATTAGATTGTCGAAGGAGATTAGTCCTATAGCCATTTCCATTTGTAAAGTGTTTAAAATTTCACTGCCGATTATGTTGTCTAAAATTCCAAAGGATACTGCATACGTTGTACTGTGTAAGGATCCTACAGGAATTCTGGGATATCTTTACCAAACCCTACTGCTCGTCGAATCCCTTGAGAGTTCGCGAAGTCTAGTGTTACTACAAAAATTATGTAACCTATAAATTTACACTTTGAAACACATAAATTTGTTTGTAATAGTTGTATTAGTACAAATTAGTTTAATTACTATGAATACTACATGTACTTTGTTTGATACATGTGAGCTCCTGGAAGGAATCGGTATTGACATTTTCCAGATATAGTAGAAAGTTTTGCGGAGTGTCTAGGCGCCTGAAACGCACTTATCAGAATTGGAAGACGCATGACCCCTCTGAATGAAGAATGTGTGTCCGATAATCGGTCAAGAAGAACGTGGTTGGGGAACAAACTCACGACTTCACACATGGAATATAATAATATGTTCATAATAAAGTACATTTTATACACGATATTGATATAATTAGAGGTAAATTACTGTCAAATGCAAATATAAAATTAACCTTCCTAAGAGACTACTGTATATATATGAGATAGGTATCCATCAATTTTATACTTTTGAACATCGCATGATCCAAATGACAACTTATGAAGATACCGTTCAGTTAACACGCCCTAATGATGTGTTACGGAAACTGTAGGTCTCCCTTGTATTTTTAAATTAGAGCTTGTATTAAAACTTGGCGAGAAAATAGAAGGTGCGGACGTTCTACTTCACTCGTAGCCCGCCTCTGTCATGCTAGGAGGTTGAAACTACTTGGTAAAGACACCAGGAATATTTTGTGAGTGAGTATGCAGACTGTGTGGTACGATCAACATATATTAAGTTTTAAGAATAGCTTATAGTGTGTATTTTCATTGTCTAGAACGATATAACTTAAAATAATTATTCTTCTTGAATATTCAGATTGATAGCTTACATTTTAACGGCGATTGTGAAGAATGCTGTCTTATGGGATATTTTCAGTGTAGTAAGGTAAAAGTTTACCGACGTTTCAGAGATGCTTGCTGCCTCCATTAGCAGGGTGTTAAGTGGGAATGCACTGATGCGGCCAATGTTCTACCTGGTCCGACTCGTCCCTATATCCAAAAATCCTTGTGCACGACTTAACTCTTCGTCCCGATGATGGACGCATGAAGAGCCT